CGCCGCCCGGTAGCCGCACTGCGCGCACGCGTGCGGCCGCGCGCCCGTGTGCCGCCGCACGTGCACTGACAAATTACCCGCTGGAAAACATACTAAATAAACAATTTGGGGTCTTATAATAGAACTTGAGTTTTTTAAATGTTATTTCAGTATTCTATCATTAATCACTTAATGTGACTATGTGATATAGTGTCGTCATCAGCTCATTATACATCCCCGATTAGAGGCTCAGAGCCTTTTTTTTTCCCAGAGGGGAATGCTTTACGCATACTCCGAGCCTCGGGCAGGCACGAAAGTTAAGTCACACTCTCCCCATAATGGGGCATACCCACTAAACCCCTCAGTTCCCTCCTAGCATTGTATAGGGCGCCACGGGATCGCTTTCGCTTGCCACCGCGAGGCCCCACAAAGAGGTTCAGAGCCTACCCTAAGTTAGCGATCACCTATATCAATAGTGTACAATATGTCAATATTATTTGAGAATCAATAAAAGTACATATGAATATAAAAGGCATCAGTATGCTTTTAGAATTACCAATATCGTCACCTATCTACACTTTTCTTTGCAAATTATTTTACATGTTTAGTGGAAATTAAAATATAGTTACTTACCCTGTGCAAATGCCCATCCACAGTAGCTGCATAGATATTGCTTGCGCCCATCATGAACCTTCATATGACACTTTAATATACTTTTTAGTTTGAACCTAAAAAAAAATTTAGTACAAATATCATCACCGAGACATTGCCAAGAAAATATTTTTACAACGTAACTGTGGATAATAGATGTTAAAATAAGGTTTACCTCTTTTGACATTTATCACAAGAGTACGGCCTCTCATCGGAATGTGACCGTAAGTGAACGGTCAATTGTTTGCGTCTCTTAAACCTTTTACTGCATAAAGTGCAGCCAAATTTACGCTCATCCGAGTGTGTTGCGGAATGATATGTCAATTGAGATGCTCTACTGAATGCTAAAAAAAAATAGAAAGAGTTACAATTAACAGATAAAAATTAATAACATTTTTCTTTTTGGCCAGTGCTCCTCACACAAAATATCAATTATTGACTTCTGCATTTTTTACTTTTTTTCTAGTTAACAAAATATGTTACTTGACAATCATAATTATTGTTGACATCGTTTTTATCTTATTTTTTTACAAATACATATTATAAAATATTATTCAATTTCCTAATTTCATGTTTTATCTCTGTTAAATTACAAATAAACAGTAATACATACTTTTACTGCAATGTGGACAGCTATACTTTTGACCTGAATGTTCCTTTTCCATATGTTTGGCAAACCATACTTTAGATATAAAACCTTTTTTGCAGATAGTACAAACATTTTTCTTCGCACAGTTTTGAACATCTTTTATTTCTTTTGTTGTATCTGTATCAAGAGGATTGTTTAAACAATCAGTTATTGGCTCAACAGGAATATTGTCTGTAGTAAAATTAGGAGATTCATTTACATTATTCAATAATATTGGTTCCTCAAAGTTCTCAATAGTGCTACAAAGTTTATAATCGGGCAGAGTTAGTTTAAGATGGTGTTTTGGTGCAGATTGAACCTCTGTTGGCCTAATACAGTTTTCTAATTCCACAATAATACTTGTTTCTCTTCTTGATGCTATGTTTTTTAAAGTAACATTTACGTTTTGAGCCTCCTTAATAAATGTGTATGAGGATTCAATTTTTATTACACAGTCATAGCAGAATTGCTTTGGTAATTTGTCTTCGGCATTAATCTATAAGGTTAAAAAAAATTATTACTTCATATGTATTATATATGTCCAGTTTCAAATACGTTTCTTTCGCTAATTCATTTGCAATTTATTCGTCTTATTCGTTAAGCAATAACTTAAGAATTTGTTAGAAATGGAGATTTATAGTACGAAGTATATATACGTATTTAAGATAGTTTTATTAAGTAATACAATTTATAAATACCTCAACATTTGTACAAAAACAAAACATTTCTACAACTCGCAAATCGAAATTCTCCTTTTCCCAAGACGCGACTTCTTTCATGCAGCTTCGACATAATTTTGTAATATCCATGGTTTGTTTTAATAATTATAGTTTCAATTGTTACGAATTATGTATTAAAAATTGTTTAGAGTCTAAGAAAATATTACTGAAAAGAGACATGACAATTGACAATGTTTAATTTTTGAATTCCTTTTTCTTCAATGGAGTGGAAGTAAAAGTTCGGGTCATACAGCCAAAAGTGTCAAGCACTTAGGAAAATAAAAATTATTATTTAAATCATTTTTTTATTAATTTAACATTTGTTAATCATGCCGACTCAGTGGTTTTCACGTATTTTAACGAACACGTTTAACGCTGCCACAGCCAATATAACTACAGTTACATTTGCTATTTTTTTATACGCAAAAAAGCGCCTGTGATTTTTGTATCCTCAATAGAATATAAACTCTGCTGTTCGTTTTATGCAAGAAATTAAACCTTAAAATTTCTGCTGTAGAAATATCTTAATTCGATTAAGATTTTTTTTTATATAAAATTAATAAACAATATATTCCGTGGCTTATCATGTGTGTAGACCTATAATGCAGTACGAAAAAAGGCACAAAAATAAAAGTAACACTTTCCAAAGTACTTTATTTTGAGTGACGAAAATTACATCAATGTGTATCAAGGATTTTCATCTAATCTACATATGTATGTATGTTACTTGCTCTTTATAAGACTTTCGAATGAACGCCAAGCCCTTTTATTGTAATGAATTTGGTAAAAGCCCTCCGGCTGATATCGGCCTTAAGCATGCATGTACAAAGTGACATACCACCAACTAATCGTGTTTGTTTGTCCCTTGACACGAAAACTACTCTAGTTTTCTGGCGTCTCCTAGGAAGGTTCGTAGCGCGTCTATACCGATGTTGGTAAGCGGCGAAGCCTCGAGCAGCGCTGGCGCATTGGCCAGCTCTGAACAAAGTCGCGAATGCTGTAGCATTAATAATGCTTCGTTCCTCATCTGACGATACGCCACGTCCATCTTGCTAAGCACTAGAATAAACTGACAGATATTTCTATTAATTTTTTGTACAAGGACAATTTAATTTAGTGAATGGTCGAAAACCTTTGAACTGCGAAGCTTCGGTTCGGCCAGTAAAGTGTAGAGCATCACGGCAGCCTCTGATATTTGACACAAATTTGATGTGTCCACCACGAAAATTACCTGCAAGATAGTAAGGTGATTAAGACTTAGTAAATTAACTCAGTAAAACGTAAGGCGATGTGAAATTTGTTTGAAATTTAGTCACTGTTTACCTTTTCAACTCCTCCTAGGTAATTATTCCACAATGTTACTATCTCTCCGCCAATTTCTCTGATAGACAGCACTTGCTTTTTACCTTGTTTGTTAACATAATTAATATCGTAGATGTTAGTGCCAATTGTTGGCACTGGACTGTACGTGTAGTCAATACCTTCGGCCTCTTGTAGTTTCTTAAGCAAAGTGGTTTTCCCTGAACCCTTGGGACCCACACAAAGCACCGGTATCTTTTTCTCTAAATCGTCCATGACTAAAGAATTCGTTAGGGGGTTTTCTGTTGAATCAATATTACTTTGTCATGGAAATAAATTTAGTTCAGCTATTCGTTACAAGATGGCGCTAGTTGATGATCAGTAAGTACATTGTTTAATTTTAAATAATACGTCATATTGAAACCAATTGGTACCAAATAAATAAATAATATTATATACAGGCAAACCTACGCATTTTTAAAAATTAAATTGTAATGCAACATTGACTGCTTAACTGTATAAATTAATAAAATAAAAATTGTTATACAATAATTATAGACATATTCGTGTTTATTTACTGTGTTTTAAAACCTTGTTTAATAATGCATAAATTAACAATAATTTTTAAGTACACGTCAGCTGTTTAAATAAACACTGCACTTGCGTCGCGTTGCCTTGTTTTTGCAATTGCGCATCGTCATATTCGACGTAACTTTTTGTTCTTCCACTCATGTATTAATTATATTTTTCGTATTAATATTCAACAACTTTCGAAAAATGAAAAACTAATGGATTTACTAACATTTAAATTTCATCATTTGATATATGAGATAACAAGAAATATTAACTATTCTTCAATTTAACGTGTCAGTTTGATTTATTTTATCACAAGCTTTTGTCCACTGGTCCGTTCGCGCGGGAATAATAAAAAAGCAAAAGTTAGTAGTCTGTGTTCCATACTCTATGGTCCATTGAGCCGTTTTGGAGATACCAACTAGCATTTATCCATACATCTTAACTTTTGCATTTACAGTATTAGATTTATGGGTGATAACTAATGTATGGTATGCTTGAAAATAAATTATTTATGGTGCAACAAAGTTATCTCGCCATGTGGGCTAAAGTGAAACCGTCTTGTCATGTCTTATGTGTCATACTCTATGCCCACATACTTAGACAGAACCGCGATAACAGCGCTACTCAGCAAGCACGATAATTTTATGGGACTATAGAATGAGTGTTTGAATTTCAAGTGTCAAAGTGCTATAAAACTTTGATGGCCTTGGTAGATCCGCCGCAGCGGGGTGAGCACCTACGTGTAAATAAGGTGACCACACAATACTTCAATAATACACATATTCCCGAATAATAATAATTAAACTACATGAAACGAATGAATTAAATTAGGGTAATTTCTGGGTCAGTTCGTCATAGTTATTAATTATTAATAATAATTCTTATAATAATGATCGCATGGCCCTGAGTGTGGCACGTAATGTGGGTGTAACACTCACAGTCAACTGTACGGACACTTGTCCGCGGCCGCTCAAAAACTAAGCAGCCTTAAACTTGGCTTACGTAAGAGCTGTCCAATGCCGCGCTAGCGCTAGTGTAGCCTACACTAGTGATGTGACATTGTCGACTGTCGCTGATAACATTTGTTCTTCCTATTTTGTATCTAAATGGAAAATTCCTCGAAACTTTGTATTTTTATTATTGTTTTGATAGTTGCTCCGATATTACGAGGTGACGCCATCGTGTTTGATCAAGGTTAATTGTGATTACACTGTGAATGCGACACTGATATTTTCGGATTTATTTTAGTTAAGTCCTATATTTATAAATGTGTGTCGGAAATTGAAAAATATTAAATAATTTACATAGTAACGATATTTATTTTTTTAACTGTAAAATAAACTTAAAATAGGTTGATTAATAAATTGATAGTACCATGGCCCCTCTCTACGCATTGTCGGTGTGCGAGTCGGAGAGGTTAGCAACTGGTAAAGCCGCGAATTTGGGCGCGCGGGGCTGCGTAACTAGGCCAGCGCACCCTTGACCCACTGACTCACTGCCAGCGACGCCGACACCGACTGCCCGCCATTGTTTTTCAACAATCAATAAATAATACACCGAGCAAAATTTCGCGTTCACACATTTGCGCAACGATCCGCCATCTTGTCGTCCCGCGCACTACTTTTCATTTTTCGCGCCGTTTTCAAATTAGTTCGTTTATTTAGGTCACTTAAATCTGGCCTTAAATAGTTATAAATATTGATTAAGTGCGACCTTCGTGCTAAAAGCTGAACCAGACTGCATCATTATTTGTGCAACGGATGTTTCGAAGTTCCACGAAGGCAATGTTAAAAATATTATTATTTTAGTTCGCGTGATGCTCAAAGTTTTTTCTGTTAAAATATAGTCAAGGTTATCGTTGGTTGTTGACCTTGTGCTGAGAGGTATTGGCTCTCGACGTGAGCCGCGAGCGGCGCGGGGAGTAACGATTATTTAAAAACAATGTAACGATCCGTGACCTTACAATTGTTGGATTAACTTAAAACGTTAACGAATCACACGTATAACAACGTAGATAATTTTCATTGTCAGAGATTGTAGTGCAAGGTGGAAGTTTACGAGTTAATTTAATTTATAGGTCGCCATTTTGAAAATTAATGTCTTTTTAAGAGGTGCTGACAATCACGATTACGTCATTACATATGCATACTTGAATTAAAATAAGTATTAAACATATTTGACAAGCTCTCGTGTTGTGGGCCACGTGAATTATAAATTAAATAAATACATAGCAGAGCGACGGTCGCGGGCGCCGCGATGGCCGCCAACGGAGGTCGGCGGGCCGCACGCCGCCGCAACCGCGCCGCAGCCGCCCCGCAGCCGCACCGCATTTACCGCTGCGTGGTGCGCGTGTCCGAGCGATACATGCAATTATAAAACAAAGTTTCTAAACGTTTCGCGAATGCCATTCGATGTTATGACGAATGGCTAAAGTTGCCTTCGAATAGGATTTTTTTCTAGGCCAACGTTTTTAAACGCGCGTTTAAATTTTGCGATTACTCATATCATTGTGGAGGAAAATTATAATTAGGTAAAACAGTATTTTAATATTTGTTTAGTCTAATAATGTCTATTATTATTACTATTTCAATTACAGTTGTTAAAAAGTAATCTCTTTCAAGGGCAGAAGAAAAATTTCTTTCTGAGAAGGACTGTGAAACATCCTCAATAAAAATGCTTGTTGTTTACTTAATTCTTCCGAAACTAACAGAATCTGAAATGTCTTTAAGAATTTTTCAAACTTACAAGCTCTGAAAAATAACATTGCAATATTCATTTTTATACACACCTTAGTGTATGGACTCTTGGCTTTTGAACAAGCGTTCGCTATCGTCCACTTCAAATTTATTTTCGGCGTAACGTTTCGTTTTAGCATTAAAATTGAAAGTAATGAAAGATCTGGCTCTAACATGGGTGAGCGCTTGACCTCAATCTCGCTCTGAAAAAGAAACTCGGTATCGAGTAAATTTTTATTTTTCGAGATCTCTTTTTTGGATCGCTTCAACGCTTTATTAATCTTTTGTTAGCTTTCAAGGGAACTTTGAAATTTCGTAACATTGTATTCAATTCTATTGTTATTTCAACCTTAGTAAGAGCTAATCTTAATCCGTAAGTGTTTTATAGCTTGGAAAATCATTGCCAAATTTGAACGTAAATGTTGAATTTAGATGTTTTTAAACACAAGATTTCGGTGTCAGTTATCTCTAGCATACATTGTTTTTAAACTAAAATACAGATGCTCTTATACTATAATTA